TCCCTTCAGAAATTCTTGAAGAGCTGGTCTGGAGTTGGTTTCAGGTTTTATTTATCTGAGAATGTTTTTATCTTTTTTTTTTTTTTCCCTCATATGAAGGATAATCTTGCTGGGTATAGTAATCTTGGTTGAAATTGTTTTTCATGTAACAATTTGACTATATTTCCTCATTCTTTCCTTGCCTGCATTGTTTCTGAGAGGTCTGATATTAACCTTATGTAAGTAATTTGATGTTTCTCTCTTGGCAATTTTAATATCTTGCCGTTGTCTGTGGTTTTTGCCAATCTGACTGTGATGGTCCTTGGAGGAGATCTTCTTGGGTTGATTCTATTTAAGGTCATTTGTATTTCTTGGGTCTGGATATTTAAATGTCTCTCTAGGTTTAGAAGGTTTTCTTCCAGGATTTCATGGAATAAATTATCCATGCCCTTATTACTTTCTTCACCTTTTGGGATACCAGTTATCTAGATGTTTTGGTGCTTAATGTCATCTAGTATTTCTTGTATATTGTCCTCATTTTTCTTGGTTGTTTTCTGTCTTTTATTGATAATTTTTTTTAGGTCAGAGGTTTTGTCTTCTACCTTTGTGATTTTTATACTTTCAAGGGAGGTTTTACTATCACAGTCTTCATATCTAACAATTCCTTTTGATTCTTTTTATGGTGTCTATTTCTTCTTTCAAATCGTGAAACGACTTCCTCATCTCCTGGAGCTCATCATCTCTTTTCTATTCCATCTCATTTAGTTTTGACACTATAAATATTCTCAATTTTTTATCTGACTTTTCAAGAGTTCCATTGTGTTGTCCATGAATGATGAGGAACTGATATTTTCCTTTGGAGAAGAGACATTTTATTGGTTGCTCATATTTCGTGTGCCTCTGTGGTGGTTTCTAGTTATCTGGTGATATATACATTCCATCCAAATTCTTTGAGTTAATTCTGAGCATTAAAAGGCATGCAGCAGCAGGTGATTGGCAATCTCTCTGCTACTCTACCTCCCTGATGCTCACCAGCAACCTACTCTGTTGTCACTGATCTTCGATGATTCAAAGTCTTCTCTGTTTCTAGAGAACAAGTGTGTCCAAGACTGAGCTACTGAGCTTTAATTCAGGAACAGAGTGCTTCAGAAAACACTGACGTTTTAGAATTCAGAGGTGTGTGGCCACAGTCTCTTTCAGCTCAGTCTCTCTGCATTGGAATGGATGTCTGTATAGTGCAGGGAGGGGCAAAAGGTCTTCAAAGTCCCAAGGAACACACCTGAGAGTTCAAAAGAGAGTAGGGGAGGGGATAAGCCACAGTTCTTTGCTGCATAGCCTCCAACCACAAGCGGCCTGCCGTGCGTATGGCAAGGCCCTCCGCTGTAATGGATGTCTACCTAGTCTTTATTACAAATGATGGGAATGTTTCAAATATTCTGGGGTGTTGAATTGGGAGGTGGGGGAGGCATACCCCATCAGATTTGTGTTTTGGGATGATTCCTCTGGCTGTGGCATAGGGAGCAGTTTTGGGTGGTGCTGGTGGCATAGCAGTGGTGCTGGCTTCCCCTCTCACAATCTGTAGGACTCGGTGGTCAGCTGAGACCCACCCAGGCACCTTTCCTTGATTTTTAGCTTCTTTCTGTGGATTTCAATACCTGGTGTGTTTTCATTCTCATATTCTCCTTCCAAAGCTGCATCTCCAGGGCCATTCACTTCATCTGCTCTCTACTTCATTTTCCTTACTCCTTTCTGATTTTAGTCCCCATATTCAGCCCTGTTTTTCCATTCATACAAATCTTAAGTAAGAGATGAGAGAAGGGACAGTGTCTACAGACATAGCAAGGGAAGATGGAGAAGAGGTGAATGGAAAAAGAAAGGAGGGGGATGGTGGAGACCCTCATGTCCCCAATGACTGGGAAATGATAAAACATCCATCACAGAAGGATGACACTTGCATTTAAGATCAGTTTGCAGAGGACAACTGTATAAGTAGATTTAAATTTTGCAGATTTTAGGATGGAGTGAGCAGACAGAAGGGGATCTTTTCTGTCTTGCAGGTAGCCAGTCATGTGCTTAGAGATGCTGGTCAAGAAGGAGAGAAGCTAAGAAGCAGGGCTGGAGATGCGTGAAACTGGGTAGAGCTGGCATGCACTAGAGTGGTCCAAGTGGATGAACTTTTATTTTTTTAAATAATTTTATTTCTTATTATTATTTAAATGTTCAAAATTTAATTTACTAAAGCAATTAATAAAATATTGGGAAAATTGTATATATATATATGTATATATATGATGAACTTTTAAAAGAGAATCATGAAGACAGCAGAGACCGGATCTGGTGTCCAGTGACAACCATCGTTGGTGGCCATAGGGAGTTTCCTGGGCAGGGGAGAAACTGACCTTCCCCAGCACTCTGTGCTTCTTTGCTCCATAAAGTAACAGGGAGAGCAAAGGGTAGAGGATTGTGTGTTCAGATAGGTGACTGATTAAAGCGGTATTTACAGTTTCTCATATCTGTTCTGTGTGGGGCAGTGTTGCTTACACCACTGCTGATAAGATACCGATACATACAGAATAGATAGCAGGACCTCACAGTACCAGAAATACAGCTTCTGAGTCACATAGGCATAGCTGGAGAGATCTACTTATGGTTCTAGCAAAGGCAGCAGCCAATGTCATCAGGAAAGCTTGGTGCTCAGCGTTTGGCCTCCTGCTTAACTTAAAGGTCTGGTCAAACCCAAGGAGTTTCCAGTTGATATCCTTTCCACTGCCTCTCCATCTCCCACCTGCTCATCTACAGAGGAGGGCAGGTGTCTTCATGGGTTTGTGAATCCTCTCTCATACATGTCCTCTATGGACTGTTTAAAGAATTGAGTGAAATAGCCTTGACACCTGGCACAGGCTGTGAGGGGGTTGTGGTTTCAGGTATTTGCTTATTCTGCTCAAGTCATCTAGGCTGGTTGTTTCAGAGCAAACTGGTCTCAGCACGCTGCCTTCAAGGCTCTGTCCGTTTGATACATTGCACAAGGCAAGAGAGGGGACTTCACATTGTTATCCCAGAACAGAAATGTGGCAAGGCTCGTTCCTTTCTCCTTGGGATGTAACTTGGCTATTTCTTATCTTTTTTCCCTCTTGGAGTACAATTTGAGATTTGTGAAAAGGGCCAAGTTGGCACGGTGGCTGTGGCTCTCCTGGGTAGTCATGTTGGACTTCTCTTCCTGAGATTTCTTTTAAATTAAACTTCACTTTTAAAATTTCTATTATTATTATTTTTTAAGGTCTTTGTCATAGGGCTGGTGGGAGACAGAAGATAGAGAGAGGGAAAGTGAGAAATCATCCCCTGGGGGGATGGCCATGCTGAAATCCCTTCTCCTTCATTCTCCTTGTGGGATTTTGTGCATGCACGCACATGTGACCAGCAAGATTTTCAATTGTCTGGGTCCAGAATTTTAGAAGCAATCAGCTAGATGGGAGTCCAGTACCTTAACCACTATACCACCTACTGGCCCCTAAGTTTTACTTTTATTTTTAATTGTCAGAGGGGGCATGCACTCGCCAGAGAGATAGAGAGAAAAATCCCCTATAGTGGGATATGGTCACACTGCAATCCCTTCTACATTTCTCTATCCTGTTGGGATTTTGAGCATACATGCACATGTGCATGACATGTTTTTCAAGCTGCCAGAACCAGGATTCAAACTATAGTCAGTCATGTGGGACCTGCTTCTGTTGGACCTAGCCTGTGCATTAGTTTGCTCACCCCTACCCCACCTGTGTGTTCCTGCAGGAAGTGATTCTGTTCACACAGTGCATTCTGGGCACTCATGTAAAATGTGCCCCTCAGTATGGTTCCTCCTTGAAACCTTCAGGACCATAATGAGATTCTTTAGAACTTGCCTTACCAGTTGACTTATAAGGGCAGAAGAAAAGAGGGAGCTGAGGTTATCTGGGAACACTGAGTGTATATGGCAGGCTACCTGTCAACCTACAGGGAGGTAACTGGAATGCATTGGAGTCTGATGGATTTTGCAGGCATAACCAAGGAGGAACCAAGGTGTGTGGTCTGCCTGGGGTCTTCTTATTTTATTTTATTTTTTTCAGATTTGCCAAAAGGTTTGTGTGGTTGTTGGAGAGAGACATAGAGTGAGAGAGAGAAAGTGAGAAATCACCCCCACTCCCAGGGGGGATAGCCACACCACACTCCCTTCTCCTCCATGCTGCTCTCTGGATTTTGGACATGCATACACATACTATCATACTTCTCAAGCTGCAGATCTGGGACTAGAACCCCCAAGTGGACCATATGGGATCTAGTCACATTAACATCCATGCCACTGGCTGGCCCCACAGAGATCTTCCTGCTAGAAACTCTGAGTGGCATCAGACTGACAAAGGGCATGGAAGTTCAAGTAGGAAGTCTGAATTTGAGTTTCAGCCCCCCAGCTGTGACTGTAAGACCTGGCATATCACTACTTGACAGGATTGGTTCCCCATGAAAGCTCTGTCCCAAGGGAGGATCTATTCTAGGCCTCTCTCCCAGCTGCTGGTGCCCTCATTGTCATTTCCTGTTTTGTAGCCGCATCATTCCTTTCTGCCTCCATGTTCACAGGGTGCTGTTCTCTGTATGCTTTTGTGCCTCCTATCTTCCTCTGCTGTTTTCTTATAGAAGCATTGTATTTAGAGTCCACCATTAATCCTTAACTAATTACACTTGCAAAGATCCTACTTTCAAAGGTCACAAACTCGGGACATGGTAGACATGAACTTTGGGGACACTATTCAGCCCAGTACAACCATAAGCAAGGAGTGTAGAGTGGAACAGAGGGCAGGACAGTGGCTTTGCATCCAGCAGAAGCTCCTGCTTTACTGGGGAAGACCTGTGTTAGGATCAGAAAGACATATATTCTGAGTCATTGGATGGACACTAAGGGGTCACAGCTGGTACATACCAAAGGGTTAAACTGTGCAGTTGATTTATGTGGATTAATTTATTTACTTTTTTGAAAATGGTTTGTTGTCTAGCTTTTGGATCCAGTTATCAAATCATAGAAGGTCCCAAGAATGCGACAGTCCTGGTGGGCTCAGAGGCTCGCTTCAACTGCACCGTCTCTCAGGGCTGGAAGCTCATCATGTGGGCTCTCAATGGCACAGTGGTTGTGAGCATCACACCCAATGGGCCCATCATCACCAATGACCACTTTACCTCTGAGAGTTATGAAGAGGGCGGTAACTTCATCTCTGAGATGATAATCCATGACGTGCAATTCAATGATTCCGGGCAAATCAAATGCAGCCTCCAGAACAGTGACCAAGGTGGATTTGCTTTCCTTTCAGTCCAAGGTGAGTATGCAGGCTTCTCCAAAACACAGTGTCTGGAGTCCATTGGGTTAGACGTCAGAGGGTGGAAGGGGCCTTCTGGAGTACATGCTGACGTGTGTGGTCTATCTTCAGCTGGGGTATGCTTACGATTATTCTAAACTGACCAATGTTCCATTGTTTGTTGTCACCCCTTCATCCCTCCTTCCCCATTTCCCTTTTTGCTTTCTATTCTCCTTCCCTTCCTTTCTTCTTTCATGTATAGTCTAGCCTTCAGTTGGCAATCTGTTTAGAATGATTCTGAGCCACCTGGTGTTTGTTTCATTGCTTGTTTTTTTTCTCTCCTCCCTTCCTCACTTACTCCCTTTTTTCCTTCCTTTCCTTCTGCCTCTTTCCTTCTCTTTCCATCTTTCCTTTTCTTTCTTGTTAAGTCCCTTAGAGACAGATTTTATCACTTTCCCATGGAATGTATTTCTGTATCTGATAACTATTTTGGATAAATATCCTGGAATTCTTTTGCAATGAACCCAAGTGGCAGTCACTTAAATTATTTTTTAAAAAAATTTTATTAATTTTCAAAAATTTACACTTTATCTCTGTATACTTTCATAGCATACAAAATTTTTTTCCAGCATGTATACAGAGTATATCAGTCAAGCCAAAGATATTATCATATGCATTATCATAAACAGACACCTTTTCATTTTTGTGTCTGTTAAATGCTTCACTTTTTCTTCTATTTCACTATTATCCCCTCCTCCCATATTATACAAAGTGGGTGAATATAGATGATTTGATGTTAAATGAAGCAAGCCAGACTATGAAAGGCAGGCATTGTATGTCCGCCCTTAATATATACTGAATGTCTGTATCCTATGGAAGAAATGGGAAGATTGGAGGGTAAAATGGCAGGGAGGGCAACTGTGGATGCTAGAGACCATATAGGAGGAGGTGGGTAGTTGCAGTCACTTTTGTTTAATTTAGAGGTAGCGGGTAGTCATTGCCCTTTATCTAGATTTCATGCCCATGGGGTCTTCAAAAATTTCATAGAAAATGACTATAATGAAAAAAAACATGCTTGGATTTAAAATTCTATTTGCATGGAAATAAACTTGTACTTTAATTCCATCTGTTCCATTAATTTTTTGAAGTCCCTTCAAACTCGACTATATTTCTTCACTTACATCATTTATAGCTTTGAAACACGCTTTAACTTTTTCCTCTTCTAAGCTGGATTTCCTCCAATCTATTTTTCTATCATTCTCCCACCTATGGTGGTTACTGTAGTCAAAGGCTTGTGCTCACCAAATATATCAAGTGTTTGAGAGAAAAGAGAGTGGTAAACAAAACTGGAATAATAGCTTTTTAAAAATTTTAAAGGTAATTTTAAGGTGCTAATATCATGGTACATAATGAAAAAAGTAAAAGATGCATGCTTTATAAGGATTTGGAATATTCTTATCCAAATTTAGTCACTTTGCATTCTTTAATCACTTTGCATCTAAAAAGTCTATTTTTAGATGCATTAGAACTAGCAGAGCTCCTGATTTCTATGGCAGCATTTCTTATAAGAGGCCATATTTTGTCTTTGAAATTATTTCTTCTACTCATTTATTTTTTTGTCCAGGAGAAATTCCCAAAGATTGATGTTGCTATTGAATCAGACTTGATACCATTGTGTGGAGAGACATTTCTATTTGCATCTCGGAAAATGCTTTTCTTCTTTGAAATTTACCTAAATTAGCATTTAAAAAAATCTTTGTATGTCTTTAATTTTGGGTGGCTTAATGATATTTTCTAAATAGGTCATTTTGTAAGGCTACTTTGGACTATTGGCCTAGTTTGCATGACCAGATCATAATTTGCAGTATAAGAGAAATAACACAGGAAAAGGAATCAAAGATATGAATTCTTAGTTGTCTCCTGGCATGATCCCTAAAATAGCTTAATTTCTTCATCTTTAAAATGGAGGTAATCTTTCCATGTTCACTTCACATGTTTTCTGTAAGGCTCAAATGAAAAAATGACTAAGGATGATCTGAAGATTTCAGGGTCCTGTCCAGTTCAATTGCCTGCACCTTCAGATGGGGAGTTCACATGATCTGTTGGTTTGTGGTGCAGAGCTGGGAGCCTGGCTGCCCAGGTTCATGTACCAGTTTTGTTATGGACAAACTGACTTTGCACACCTTACTCAAAGAATAGTTTCCTCAGAGAACAGTTGTGGCAAAAAATGAGTATGTCCATGTAGGCTTTATGATAGTGGCTGGCTCCCAGCAATTGCCATATGGTGATTTGCTTTTATTTACTGGGTTCACAGTAAAATCATGCTGTTGTGTTAGGTATTCACACAAGTGACTCAAAGATGAATAGAATAAGACATGATTCCTGCTCTTAAGAATCTTACAGAAAAAGTGGATAATGGAAGTTACACAAATAATAGTGGTACAATGCAGATGCTGACAAGAGCCATGGGAGGGACACAAACTCAGCTTCAAATTGGGAAGGGAGATAACAGGATCGGCCAGGCCTTCAGAGAGAACTCCACGGACAAGGTGTCATTCAAGGTATGCATTCTAGGTCTGAAGATGATAGGTGAGATAGGGAAGCAAGTTGAGGAGGGGAGTGCTCCTGGATCAGGGAATAGGACCAGGACATTACTCACATTGCTATCATATGGCACATGAAATTCATAAACCTACGTGGTTTTGTACCATCTTTTCCCCAAATTACAAATGGACAAATTTGTCCGAATACTCTTAACCTGTATTTAAAAAGATATATTGTTATTTATTGTAGTTACTGGTTTTATTATTTTTATTTAAAATATTTTTAAAGAATTATTTTATTGAACTTTATTTATTTATTTATCCATTTATTTATTTATTTTTTAAAATTTGATCAGAGAGGGACAGAGAGAGAGAAAGTGAGAAAGCAAGCCACCAGGCCTGGGACTTGAACTGCAGTTGGCCATGTGGGAGTCTAGCATCCATAACCACCATGCCACTTGCTGGCTGGCCCCAGTAGTTTTCTAGTTTAATACAGATGGAAGAACAAGCATCTAGGGAAGTTAAAGACTTCTCCAAGATTGTGCAGAAGGAATCCATAGAGCTGGGGCAGGCAGGACTTGATCATTTTAGTCTTTTGTTTTGTTTTGTTTTTGGTTTGATGGTGCTTTGTTCTCAGAAGAACAAATATTCTCTGAGCAATAGATTCTTCCTTAAGGAAAGAAATTTGTAAAAAGAGAAAATCCCTATAAATTATCCAATGATTATTTTTATTTCTTTTTTCCCATGCCATGTATCAATATGAAAAATAAATATAGCTGACATAACTTCAATTGAATCACTCAAAATATATGTCAATGACTAGAAAGTCACCACTTCTTTTTTTTGAGGTTTTTAGTTTCCATGTTTTTATGTATTTTCTTTTTAATTATATATGTATTTTTATACATTCAATCACTGTATATCATTATAGCATTTAAAATGAGTTTTCTAAGCATAAATACATTGCATATTAGTTCAGTTATTTTCATACACATTATCAACGACAGATAGTGTTTCATTTTTGTGGAAAGTCACCACTTTTGTATAAAATGTTTATGCTACTGGATAACCTTCATGAAAGCCAATAGGGAAAAGTTGAGTCCCCACCTGTGTATGGAGGAAATGCTTCAGCTTGCTCTGTTGGTCCACTGACTGCCCAACCCACAGGTTTAACCACATACCACGACTACATCTCATGTCGAGGGCCACCAGGACTTGAGTTCCAGAACTTCTATTATTTTTTTAGAGAAATTTTTGCTATAGGGCATGTGCACTTACCAGAGAGACATAAAGAGACAGAGAGACATAAAGAGACAGAGAGACAGAAAGATAGAAATCACTCCCCAGGGGGAAATGGCCACTTTGCAATCCCTTTTCCTCCATTCTCCTCAAGGCATTTTGGGCATGTATGCACATGTGCCTGGCATACTTTTCAAGCTGCCAGATGTGGGACTCAAACCGCAGTCAATCATGTGGGAGGCCAGTGATGTAACCACTACACCATCTGTTTGTCTCCAGATTTTCTGTTTATAACTGAGATCATACCATTTTCCCAACTTTTTTTTTTTTTTTTTTGAGAGGTTTTTGCTATAGGGTGTGTGTGCTCGCCAGAGAGACAGAGAGACAGAAAGCGAGAAATCACCCCCTGGGGGGATGGCCACGCTGTAATCCCTTCTCCTCCATTCTCCTCTCGGGATCTTGGGCACGCATGCACACATGCCTGGCGTGAGTTTAAGCCACTGGGTCTGGGACTTGAACCGCAGTCAACTACATGGGAGTCCAGCGACATAGCCATTATGCTAACTGCTGGTCCCACCATTTTCCCAACTTTTCTGTCTTCTTGAACCATTTCTCCAACAAACATAACTGAACAATAAAACAAGCCAAGAAACCCCCAAAACCAAAAAAAAAAATCCCCCCAAATCCCAAAACAAAACAAAACAAAAACAAAGAAAACCCCAAAAGTGAAACCCTTTAGGTTTAAGGGACAAATCCTTTCTCTACTTTTACATCTACAGTAATCTTTGAATTAGCAATGGCGCCTTACTTACTGCAAGAGAATATTCAGGAAAGAAATAATTGAAAACTTAACATTTTAGAGTGAAAAAATTTTTCAGAGTTGACCTGGTTCAGTGTAGTTTGGGGTCTCCAGAGCATATCTGGAGATCCTTTCACAGCTATCTGTGAGGTCATGACTGTTTTCATAATAATACTAAGATGATAGCTGTCATTTTCCCTCTCATGCTTATGAGTACACAGAGGAAATTTCCACTATATATTGGGAAGATTTGCATAACTCAGCAGACCAGCATTTTCTAAGTTATCATGATTTTGTATTACTTTGTATAATAAATACAAAATCATGCCAGGGCGAAAGGTCCATTCGAAGTGCTAGGTAGCACAATCGATTTTAATGTAATCGAGAACAAAAGTTCCTGGATATAGTTTCAGATTCACAGTGCAACTAACCTGTAAGAGACCATTAATTGTTGAGTTTTGGTTTAGTAACAAAGAATATGATGATCTGAAAAGGCTATTAAATACTTCTCACTGTTTCAACTGCAGATCTGTGTGAAGTTTTTTCTTTTCTTTTTTTTTTCCCCCATCCTTCAAACAAGGTAATATATTAGAACAGATTGAATGAAGAAGCAGATGTAGGAATCTAGTAAGACATTAAAGAGATTAGCATAGCTATAAAACACTCCTTTTATTTTTTGGGGGGCTTTAACAGTATGAGTTTTTAAAATAAAAATATGTTCATTTATATGAACATGTCATGGGTATTATTATTTTAAACTGATACCTTATAATATTTAATTTGAACTTCACATATGGTAGATATCAACAGATGCAATCCTCATGAATGAAAACTTTTGGAGTCCTCATTGTTATTGCAGAATGTACTGAGGCCAAAACACCTGAGAAATGATGATCTAGTCAAATGATCTATTTTAATAGGTGGGAAGCAGTGAACTCCAAAATTTCAGCAAGTTGCCCAAGATGGTTGCAATTCTCTGACTGAGCCAAGACTATGAACATATCTTTTGATTCCTAGTTCAGTGTTCTTTCTATTATGCAGCCAAGAGTTTTAGCATGATTCAATCAAAACATTTCAATGTATATGTATTTTGCTACAGCTGTGTCTTTACCAAGGCCAAATCCTCAGGCTATTTTAGTAATATTAACATAAACAAGCATTATTTTCATATGGGTTTACAGTATGGATGCTGGCATATTCAAGCAAGTTCTTAAAATTTAAACATACTTTATCTGAGTAAGCTATTCTGATACATAATTTCAGTTTTTAATTTTTGTAATTATATTAGATTTGATTTTGATTTAACTTGTAATAAGAAACATCTTTTAAGGCAATACCATATAAAGTTATGCTGAAAACCATGTGACCTCCAAAAGATATAAAGTGAACCTGATGGATCAACACTCCAGGAGAGACTTGCTTTCCTTTAGACTCTGGGCTGTGTTGTCTTTACATTGAAAAGAAAAGATTGTTTCCCTTTTTGCCTTTGCTGCCAGGACAGCCCAAGGTAATTTTGTAAGTCCACCTGAATAATTGCACAGCCTCCCATGGCATGTGTCTCTGCCTTCACTTCCCATGTGATTTTTTCTCTCCCATAACATACATCTCTAACTTAGCTTCTCATGTGATTTCTTCCCCTGATTCCTGATTTTTTAAAAAATTTTCTCTGTAGTGATATATTTTCTGTGAGAAACCTCATCTGAGAATCTGACAAGTCTAAAGAAGGACACAGATAAAACCTGAGTTAAGGTTCCTTAGTACAGACACAGCTTCATTGGGTGTTATGAAATGTGATTTGAAGCAAAAGTAAGCAAAGAAAAAAGTAAATTGAGAACTGAGAGGGACTGTCATTACTTCCAATTGTTTCTCTCCTTTCTTCTTTAGTTATGGGAGCATTGCGCATTCCTAATGATAGTCTCATAGTCATTGAGGATGAACCTTGTAATGTTTCTTGTCGAGCCTTGGGCTGGACCCCACTCCCAGATATGTCTTGGGAGATCAGTATCCCTGCAAGACACTGGAGCTATTTCTCCATTCCGGAGCCTGGTGATCTTCACAGTGCAGTGAGCATCCTGTCTATCACGCCACAGGGCAACGGGACTTTGACTTGTGTGGCTAACATGAAGAGTCTGGATGCCCACAGGTCTATAACTGTAAACCTTACTGTGGTTCAGCCTCCCCTGGGTAAGTGGAGACTTCTTGCTTTTTAGCAAATAAATGATAATTTATGCTCATATTTTAAATAACATGCTACTTCATCATCAATGCCTGGGAAAATCATAAGGTGACCTTGCTTTCAGGAAGGGATGGCGATGAAGGCAAATTACTTGTGCTGGTTTTCCTGTAATCTCATCTGCTTCTTAAATTCCATCTTAAATTTTTCTCCTTCTTCTAATTTCATATGAAAGCCATTTTAAATCCTGCCAATTATTAAACATAAAAGACCATCAAGTTTGGAGTCAAGTACTTGAATTGAATATTTTTATCTAGCTCTTACTCACTGCTGTTTCAGTTTGATCCCACCCTCAGGCCAATATGAAGCAAGTGCTGGTATTTGGGGAGGCTGTTCAGGTCCTCTAAGATTTCTTTTGGATTTTAGTGGAATTACAATGTGTCATTTTTTTATCCAACAAATTTATAGTGTATTTGAAGCTGTTCCATCTCTATATATTTTAAAACTTGACTAAGTGATGTAACCTTAAAGTTTAAATCTCCCCAAATAACTTATTATGGGGTCCTTGTCATACCAGAAGCTCTAACCACAGAGGGCCCACAGAGTCTGTTAAGCACTGACTCAGTCTGGATGGGGTGGAGTAGGGGAAGGCTGGAGATTTACTTTAACTCCTTCATTTTATAAGAGGGAAGGAGGCCTAGAAAAATGCTATGCCTTAATCTAGTCACACAGACGGATGGGGCAGAGCTGGTCCAAAAAGCTAAAAAGAGGTTTTCTCTTAGTCATAAGCTATTTCCATTATGAAAATATTTTTACTTGAGAACTTTCAAAGCTTGGAACAAAGGCACAGGCAAAGCAAAATAATAATAGCAGCAATAATAAATAGCATTTTATAGCACTTACCAAGTAGCAGGTACTGTTCTAAGTACTTTTTAATATTAACCAAATTAGCCCTCATGACAGCACCAAGAGTGGGTATTGTTATTATTCCTATTATAAGGCAAAGTGACAGTATTGTTTGGGTTCTGCCAACCTCTGTAGAGTAAGTACATGGCAGGAGCAGTCATGGCAATTTGTCACCAGAAGCTGCTCACCTGTCAGCTCCGCAGGCTGTGTGGCAGTCATTTGGAGGGTGCTTGAGTTTCCTGTGGCTGCTGTAGCCAAGTACCACGGACTGGAGGCTTAAATAACAGGAATTTATTGTCTCATATTTCTGGAGGCTGGAAGTTTTGGAATCATGGTCTTGGCAGGGCTGATTCCTCCTGAGGGCTGTGAAAGGAGATCTATTCTGTGCCTTTCTCCTCATTTCTGATGGTAGATGGCTGTCTTCGCTGTTCTTCAGCTTGTAGAAGCATCGACCCAATCACTGCCTTCATCTTTGCATGGTATTCTCTCTGTGCACATCTGTGTCCAAATTTTTCTCTCTCTCCCACTTTTTCATAAGGACTCCAGTGGAATTTGATTAGGGGCCCACTCTATCATAGTCAACCTATAATAGAAGATGTCTCTGAATCTATAAAAATCTATTTAGATCCTGTGACCAGCAGGTGGCATAATGGTTATTTTGCTGAATTCCCATGTAGTCTACTGTGGTTCAAGTCCCAGACTCGATGTCTTGAAACTCAAGCCAGGTGTGTGTGCCCAAAATTTCTAGAGGAGAATGGAGGAGATGGGATTGAAGCATGGCCATCCCCCCAGGGGTGTTTTATCACTTTCTATCTCTCTGATGAGCACACACACCCTAATAACATCAACAACAACATCGACAACAAAAATCTGTTCAGATCCTAACCTGCTGGAAGAGAGACAGAAAGCGAGAAATCACACCCCCCCCGGGGGGGGTGGCCATGCCACAATCCCTTCTCCTCCATTCTCCTCTCTGGATCTTAGGCACACATGCACACGACTGGAGGCTTAAATAACAGGAATTTATTGTCTCATATTTCTGGAGGCTGGAAGTTTTGGAATCATGGTCTTGGCAGGGCTGATTCCTCCTGAGGGCTGTGAAAGGAGATCTATTCTGTGCCTTTCTCCTCATTTCTGATGGTAGATGGCTGTCTTCGCTGTTCTTCAGCTTGTAGAAGCATCGACCCAATCACTGCCTTCATCTTTGCATGGTATTCTCTCTGTGCACATCTGTGTCCAAATTTTTCTCTCTCTCCCACTTTTTCATAAGGACTCCAGTGGAATTTGATTAGGGGCCCACTCTATCATAGTCAACCTATAATAGAAGATGTCTCTGAATCTATAAAAATCTATTTAGATCCTGTGACCAGCAGGTGGCATAATGGTTATTTTGCTGAATTCCCATGTAGTCTACTGTGGTTCAAGTCCCAGACTCGATGTCTTGAAACTCAAGCCAGGTGTGTGTGCCCAAAATTTCTAGAGGAGAATGGAGGAGATGGGATTGAAGCATGGCCATCCCCCCAGGGGTGTTTTATCACTTTCTATCTCTCTGATGAGCACACACACCCTAATAACATCAACAACAACATCGACAACAAAAATCTGTTCAGATCCTAACCTGCTGGAAGAGAGACAGAAAGCGAGAAATCACACCCCCCCCGGGGGGGGTGGCCATGCCACAATCCCTTCTCCTCCATTCTCCTCTCTGGATCTTAGGCACACATGCACACGTGCCCGGCGTGAATCTAAACCACCGGGTCTGAGACTCGAACCGTGGTTGACTACGTGGGAGTCCAGTGACATAGCCATTATGCTAACTGCTGGTCCTGAAATCTGAGATTTTATTTAAATTTCTTTGACTTTTAACTGTAAGCATTTAATGAAAATATTTTGTGACAGAAAAACCAGAATGAGCCTTGCACCACTTACTTGCCAAACCTCACTGCAAAGTCTCTCCTTGAAACATAGGCTCAAACTCAGACATTCCTAGGTCTGTGGAAACAGTTGAATGGTACTGCAGAGTCAACACACGTCTCCCACAGACATAACTCGAAGCCAATTTTTCTCAATTCCAAGAAACAAAATTGAAGTACTAGTGCCCTTCCTCTTTTCCTCTCTCTAGAAGTTTCTTGAATAATGAGAGCACTAGAGCCACTCACTCGTCATTTCTTCTGCTTATTTTTCATGGACACGTTTATGGGTTTGTTTCTGTGGTTACCCATGAGGCAGCTGCTCCAGGGATGCGTGGACCTGGTTTTGGGGAATATCAGGGTTTTCAGATGAGAATATAGAAATCTATGCTTCTTTGAATATGAATTGAGTCTAATTTATTTTAGCTCATTAAATTCAAGGAAAGTTAGCTATTCTTTACCGAGATTGTATATGAAGATGAAAGTAGGATTCAAACCTAGTTTGCTTTGCTTTCTCCAGCTTATTATTTGAACAATTAAAAACTGAGTTGTGGGTCAGATGGTAGCATAGAGATTAAGGTGCTGGATACCACATTGCCAACTTTGCAGTTTGAGTCCCAGACCCAGGCTTGAGAATCATATTGGGTGCGTTTGCTTGTGTGCCTGAAATCCCAAGAGCAGAGTGGAAGAGAAGAGATTGCAACATAGCCCTTTCCCAGGAGGTGATTTATCACTTTACCTCTCTCCCTCCCTGTCTCTCTCAGGTGAGCACACATCTACCATAGTAAAAACTAAAAAACAAACAAACACCCCCCCCCAAAAATGCACAAAAAATCAACACAAACAAAACCAAAAGCTTGAGTTGCAACAACAGAATACCCCTCACCTGGGTGCACCAAATGCTAACATTTGCCAACCTCTCTCTTTCTCTCTTAGCTTTTTTTCCTAGACTATTTGGAAGTTATTTGGAGACCATGTCATATTATCTCTGACACATCCCGAACATAACCCGACACAACCCAATATAGTTGGCAATACATAATTACATAAATGCAAGAGGACTTTTAAGAGTTCATGGAAAAATGGAATTAAAGCATGAATTTAGTTCAATGCAAACATTTTTGAAACCCGTGCACATTTTTTTCATAATATGCATTTTTTCTATGAACTTTTTGAAACCTTTTGTATAATATACCATCCATATTTAAATTTCTCAAATTGTCCTAATAATGTCCTTTGTAGCTACCCTCCCCACCAAAAAACAATATCTAACCAAAAGCCAGGCATTGATTTGGCTGGCTGTCAGGTTTTCATCTCCTTTAATCTATAACAATACCTTCTTTTTTTTTTTTTTTTTGCCAACTTTTTGAAGGGTTCAGTCCATTTTTGTAAGATGCCCCTCAATTTGAATGTGTCTGAATTTTCTGGTATGCTTTGATTTAGGCTAAACATTTAGGCAAGATGTAAGTCATTTCATAGGAGAGCATAATGGCAATTTTCCCACCTTCAGTAATAAGTTTGATCATTTGGTTGAAGTGACATGTCCCATATATATTCACTGTACAGGTACCTTTCTGTCTTTACAATGAGAATGTTGTTTGTGGGCACTGGAAATATCCTGCTTGCCTTTTGTCTCCTCCCTGCTAACTTTTGTACTCATTGATAAGCTGTTACCTAAGTCAGTTATTTCTAAGAGGTTATAAAAAGCAATTTCCTGTTTCTGTCATCCTTTCTTTATTATGTAACTAGCATCTTTATGTAAAGATTCTTCCTTCTTTTCTTTTAGTTTTTCTCTTTTCTCTTTCAGGTTTAGTATGAACTTATTTTTGTTCAAGATATTCTACTTCATTCCTGTCATTATTCCTTTTCATACTCAGCTTGTTCCAGATTTGTCCAGTAGGAATTCTTTTTTTTTGGACAGGTTTTTGCTATAGGGTGCGTGTGCTCACCAGACAGACAGAGAGACAGAGAGATAGAAAGCGAGAAATCACCCCCCAGAGGGGATGGCCACGCTGCAATCCCTTCTCCTCCATACTCCTCTCGGGATCTTGGGCATGCACGCACATGAGCCTGGCGTGAGTTTAAGCCACTGGGTCCAGGACTCGAACCGCAGTCCACTACGTGGGAGTCCAGCGACATAGCCATTACGCTAACTGCTGGTCCCCAGAAGGAATTCTTTAGTCTGGCTCTGGTGC